CMWTTWWTTKRAAAATCTCCTTCTTTCTTAATTGACCTACAAATCATCTCTGTCATATATCAGGTTCATATGTGAGTTGACCTTTAGTCTCTTTCATTGGTCTATGTATATTCTTCTGCAAAAAATAAAAAACAAACATAGTATGTTGTTTACTATATCTTTTACAGTAAATCTTGTTATCTCATCATTCTACCTAGGTTTTTTTCCTTTGAAATGTTTATAATCCTTTTATCTTTTCTTATCTATTTCACATTCAGCTTATCAATTCCTTCAAAAGAAAAAAAAACTATTGTAAATTTTACTGAAATTTCATTACATATATAGGTTAATTTGGGAAAAATCTACATATTTTTGGGTATCTTTATTTATCAACATTACAGAAGCACAGGAGGCTTAATTGCATTGTGGTCAGAGAATCTAATTTACAGAATAACAGCTCTTCAAAACTTGTTAATAATGTCTTACGAAATTTGTTCATGGCTTATTATGTAGTTGKTGCTTACAAAGGTTCAGAATGAACTTGGAAAGAATTCTGCAGTTAATGGATACTGTTGTTCTTTATAGTCTACTAGTTCAGTGTCATGGTGGGGGCACTTAATTCTTCTGTATTTATATTCATTTCTTTGTCAGTTTCTCAAAGAAACAGGTTAAAATCTCCCTTGTAGGGAGATTTTTTTAAAAAATGTTCTTTATTTTGAAATAATGTTATTAGGTGCAGTCAAACTTAAGAGTTAGTTTCTCATCTTCTGTGAAAACATAATGACTATTTCATCTAGCAATCTTCTTTTTCCCTTAGTATTTTTATTGATATTAATATARTTATATACCTTTCTTTTGGTTGGTATTTACCTATGTATTTTTTTTAGCCATTTACTTTCAATTTTTTAATGTCTTTATGTTTTAATTATATCTGTGGTAAATAACATATAGCTGGACATTTTATCCATTTATTAATTTTTGGCCTTTAGTTGGAAAGATCTTTCCATTTATAGCTTTTATTTACTAAAGCAGTTGACTTCGTATCTGCTCTCTTATTTTATTTGCCCCATATTTTCTAGTCTTATATCTGTGGYTTTCCTGTTCCTCTAAATATTGGAAACACTTTAGAATATAAATCTAATCATTCCTCTATACTTCTTTTTAATTTTTTTTTATATTTTACTTTTCCCTTAGCCTTTAACTCTATTAGAATTTGTTTTGTATAGTCAGAATTTGTTTAACTAGATCCTATGTTAATCATTTTCTGTGTTCAGCATTCTTTACATCTCAGGTGGTCTTCCTTGCATTATTTCATTTCTTCCTCAAGGGTGTCTTCAAAAAATTCATTTAGTGAAGATCTGTTGGTAAAATGTCTCTAGTTTGGGAAAAAAAATCTTGATTCAGTTCTTATTCTTGAAATATATTTTTGCTACATTTTAGATATTAAGGTGATATTTGTTTCATTGTTTTTATATCATGGTTGTGATGTCAGCTGTCAATCTATCATTTGTTTGCAGTATTTTTCCTTCTATATGATTTTAGTATCTCTTTGGCTTTGATGTTCATCATTTTGACCTCAGTGAGTTATGTGTTAACGTATTTAATTTATGTTGTTTGGGATTTATTGAGCTTCCTTATCTGAGGAGCAATGTCTTATACCATTTCTGGAATACCCTAAGTTATTTCTCTTCATTCTTTCTAGTTACTCTTGTGAAATTCAGATTGTGTATATTATACATCTTCTGGCTATTTTCTCCTTAGCACTCCTCCTCCATTCATATGTCAATTTGTGTCTTTTATTAAATTATCAGAACTTTCTTTACCTGTTTATCTGTTGTCTTTTAGCTATATCTAATTGAATATTAAATCATAAACCATGTCTCTGATTTAATTGTGAACTACATTTTTAGATTGATTTTTTGTTATATAGATTTATTTTGATATTTTTGTATCTTTTATTATATTTTAGTACCTTGTTGTGTGAAACATATTACATTATTGCTTTATATCTTGTATCTAATTACTCTAATATCTGCTGTCTTTATAGACCTGATCATATAAATGGTTTCTTTTAGCTGACTTTCTTTTCAGGAACTTATTTCCTCACATATTTACTGATTTTTTTTTTTTTTTTTTTTTTTGGTGAGGGCATGTTCTCTAGGTACATTATGTGTGGAATTCTTTAAGATCTGAATTTAGAAAACAGCTCTACGTAGAAGTTTTGGGTTTGCTTCTGTTTGCCTGGGACCAATTTAAATAAATTTTCAGCTTCTGGATATTTAGGCCACTTTGATAATATAAATTCTGACACCAARCCTGTGTGAGTGGGGGCTTATGGTTAGGAACTATTCAGGAGAGACTTTTTTACTTACTCACCAGAACCAAAATCAAAACACTGTTTACTTATGTGAAAATTGTTTCTTCCTCATTTACTCATTAAAATTTTGTTGCCATTTGTTTCTGATGAAATCCCTATATGTGCTTCCAGGGATTGGCACATATCCTCAGAGCAAATTATGTTTCAGTACTCCCTTACCAACTAGTGGGTTCACTGGACATTACTGTTACTTTTCGCCATGGAATCTCTTTATTCCCTGCCAGCTACGCCTAACATGGGATTTTATTATAGTGAATAGGTTGTGATACATTCTCAGGGGTTTCTGTCAGCATCTGGTAAGACAAGTTGCTTTAAAAAAAAAGGAAAAAATTCTTTTTTATTATATATATATAATATGGTGTTATATATATATATATGTATATATATATATGTATGGTGTTATTATGTATTTATTTAAATACACACATTTTAATTGTTTAAATAAAAATGTAAGTGTATTTTGCTACAAKACCCAATAAAGTCATATGTAGCTTATCTCACAAAACTTGCAGCATCCCTGTGAAAATTAACTTTATGTTCACAATTAGTTATACATGTCCTCCCAAACTCAGAAGACATGTACATATTAAGAGAGAAAATAAATGAAGTAGTAATATTGAGTCAAACAGAAAACAGCAATATAATATTTTTTTAAATGTGTATTTTTTTTCCTCTGAYCAGGAAAATGTTCAAGATTTAAGAAAGAGAATTACAGTACTTGACTGCCAATTGCGAAAATCAGAAATGGCTCGAAAAACTTTTGAGGCATCCACTGCAAAGCTTCTTCATTTTGTAGAGGTGAGTTTTTATGTTATAGTCAGCCCTCTGTCTCTATGGGTTTACATCTATGRATTCACCCAACCACAAATGGAAAATATTCAGAAACAGAAAAAACTCCCAACAGTTCCAGAAAGCAAAATTTCATTTTTCCATACACCAAGCACCATGCTGAATCCACATGAATGAAGTGATGTGTAGGTGCACATTGCTATAGCTTCCCGCTTTCACAGAGCCGAGGTCTCTCCAGCACTCCTTATATGAGTATTGTTCTCCTGGCATCTCATTCATGATATCCTGTGTAGTTAGACACACCATGATTGCATCTATACTGAACATGTACAGTATAATGCAGTATAACATTGATTTATGTATTATTTGCATTGTTTTAGGTATTGTAAATTATCTGAAGATGATTTAAAGCACACAGGAAGGTATGCATAGGTTATATGCATGTATAATGTGCCACCTTATATAAGGAACTTGAGCACCTGCTGGTTTTCTTATCCTCAAGGGTCCTGAAATCAATCCCCCATAGATACCAAGGGAGGACTGTATATTATATCGCCTACTGTAATATTCATTAGGCAATGTAATATACACATAGGCAACTGACACTGATAAATACAACAGTGTTCAGTGGCGCATGAAATATTCTCTAGTCTCAAAACAGCAATGCTGACTTATAGTCAAACTTAGAATTACCTAGATCATGAAAAGACTGATTAGCATTMTATATATTTTTTAAGAAAAATAATTGAGACTGAATAACATGATTTCCAAAAATATATAACTTAATGAATACTTTCCTAAAAGTCTTGATACTAAGAAAATAGAATTTGATAAACATTTATCCTMTAAATAAATGTTTTTATAACTGTTATATTCTGAGTAGAATTACATCCTGCTATATCAGAAACATCTGTTTAATCAATGGAAAGGGAGGCTGTAAATATTAATTGGGCCAATAAAAGGACATTTTTTAAAAACCATCAACTTTATATATCTCCTTCACCATCTTATTTGTCACTAGGCTATTCAAGAAGTACTTTCTGATAATTCTTCTCCTTTATCAAGTTTGAGGTAAGAAATATTTAATTGCTTTCTTCAAAGTATGTCAGCGGATTAAATTGTGACTGAAATACCAAAAATCTCTTAAATAGTCTTAAGATGCTGAATCAYTCCCATTGTACACTATTATTCAATGTTGTGGAATAATATGAGGACAATGGTTTTGTTATTAGCTCTGTAAAAGAAATTCCTGGAAGTATTTAGCCAGTCATATAACCTTGAACTATAAAATTGAGGTAGGAATCACCTACCTCTTGTCTTTGTCAAGAATGCCATAAAGATGAGTTTAATTTGAAATTCTTGAAGCTTCCTGTATGTGAATAAAAGTTACTAGCCACAGGTGCCTTGCTAAAGGTCAYTCTCAACCAGCAGATTAGTTGTTATGTCAAAAAGAATTTTGCAAATCTTATTCATGGAATCAGTTTCTTTTACTTTCAGCAGTCAGTAGGTACAGATAAAAGAAATATATTTGGAAAATGCACCTTGATTTTCTTATTATTCACAGAATGCTTCGCATTTCAAGTTTCTTACTAAGAGCAACAAACATAAAAGTAAGATTTATTTCAAACTATAAATTTAGGGTCATTTTGATACATGATGAAAGACATAGAAAAGAAAGATTCTTGCTTGTGCATTTTGAAAGTGGATTTTTCTTCATCTTATAATAGCTGTCACTAGTTCTAAATATGTCTTCTACTTCTGGCAGTATCACTTGCAGAAATGGGAAAGCTCTGCCCTTTAAAGTGAAAATAGCAGTTTAATAAAGGAAATAAACGAAGATATTTTGGGTGCCATATGACTTTTTTTTTAATTTAGAAGAATATCTACAGTTGTTCACTTTTAAGCTATTTTGATGTAATGTTTATTTTTTATAGTCAAAGAATCTGACATTTTCTCATTGTTATCCATGCTGCTTATAAGATATTTATGTAAATTCCATGGTTTTTATTTATATTAAGGATCTTAACATTCAGTAATCAAACTGAGGATGTAGCTCAGTGGCAGAGCACTTGCCTAACAAGTGGGAGACCGTGGGTTCAGTCCCCAGCACCAAAAAAATAAACAAACAAATAAAAGTATTCAGTAATTTTATTACCCTTAAATGGATTAGGTGTGTCCCCCACAATAATCCCCTAAGGTCTCATTTGATTTTGACTAATTTAAAAATTTTGCTGTTAAATTTCAAGGATAAAAATTACTATTTAAAAGCCAGCATCTACCCTTGCTTTAAATTGTTTCATGGAAAAAAAGGCAACTTTAAAAAACTATCATAGCTTTTTGCCATGTCATGAAAAGTTAAGCACTAGTGAAATCTAATTCAATCTTTTTAACATACCATATCTTCTATATGGGTATTAGCCATGATCATTCAACGCAGAACAAGACTATGTGAATTTGAGAATTGATTCTTTAGTTTCTCCTTGTGAATTAATACCATCATGCTTAAGAAGATGGATTGTAAATGATGATGATTTTATCATTAGTTTAACATTATCTCTTTTTTCCAAGTAAAGGTTTTGCTGTGGTGGTTTTCGGAGGAAAACTTAGGACTTTTAATTATATCAGGGTACATTTATTTCAAATGACATTTGACTTTTWAAAAAAAAGTTATATAAATGCTCTAGGCTATTTTAGATTTAGAGGAAATGAAAGACTTTAAGAGATAATTTCAAGAATGAATGTATATATTTATGTTTGCTGTATTAGAAATTTTAAGTAAATATATTTTAATATGCCTAATTTAAATTTTTACCAAACTAAATAAAAGGTTTCATCATGTTAGCATATAAACATTCCCAAAATATGTCCCAACAAATAATCTAGGAGGTAGGCCATCCTTCAGTTGCTTCYTCCTTGTATATGAAGTCAATATAATGCTTCAGATGTTCTTGTTTATTTTATAATAAACAATTGAAAACAGAAATATTGTTTATGTTATTTACCTCATGTGTGGCTATTTTACATGTTTTTGTTCATTCCTGGATAAAGAAATATTTTTGATAATGAATACCAATTCACATTTAGCAAAGATAGGTGTGTGTGTCATGGAACATATTCTAGTTCATTTCATTGTCTTCTCAGTGAAAGAAGAGCTGTGTTAGCCTCTCAGATTTCCCTCACRGCACTGGGAAGGAATGGGCGCACCATCCCAGCAACCCTGGCATTGGAATCTAAGGAGCTTGTTAAGTCCGTTCGTGCCATACTTGATATGGATTGTAAGTTTTCCTCATTTTTTTCACTTTTTTTTCTTTTTTTAATAATTCACTTAATGAAAGGAGAAAATTTCAAGTCTGGTAGTTTAATTTCATTGAATATATTAATATTTTGGTTTGCCCACATTAAATTTGATAATTAACTGATAAAAATCTTAATGCACCCATTTTATGGGGAAAATACTTTACAGTGTTCAAAAGGGTTCTAATTTAAGATTAAGACATGTCTTTACTTTTATTTCCATCCAAAGTTTCTGTCTCTTTTTTTTTTTTTTAAGAAACAAATTAATTTAAACCCAGAGGCAACTTACCTCAGTGCTACATCCCCAGTCCATTTTACTTTTTATTTTGAAACAGWATCTCCTAAGTTGCTGAGGCTGGCCTCTAATTTGTGATCCCCCTGCCTCAACCTCTCAAGTAGCTATGATTACAGGCATGCATCATCTTGCCCAGCCAAAAGTTTTTTTGCAATGGAAGAATAAGTATAAATATTAGAAGGTAGAATCAACATTGAGAAATTTTTAAATAAAATAGATGAAACAAGATGTATCTGTCACTAGATAGCCCTGGAGTCAGCATTGAACTAGAAAGAGAAGCAAAGTGATTCTCTAAGGAACTTCAAGCACCCCAACTCACAGAGAGACATCCTTGGAGGAAATTTAAATAATAGAAATTTTCATCTTTCCCTCTTCCTATCTTTCAGGCACTTTCACCTCTTATTTATCTATTTATTTATTTATTTTTGGTACCAGGGATTGAACTCAGAGGCACTCAACCACTGAGTCCCATCCYCAGCCCAATTTTATATTTTTATTAGAGTCAGGGTCTCACTGAGTTGCWTAGCTCCTTCCTGTTGCTGAAGCTRGCTTAGAACTCACAATCCTCCTGTCTCAGCCTCCYGGGCCGCTAGGATTACAGTCATGCACCACTGTGCTCCACTTCACATCTTAATTTTTACTTCTTTTTATAACCATTTCTGGCATATCCTTTATTTCCCTTCCATGTAAATTATAATTTTCTTAGTTATATCCRTTATTTATAAAAATTGATAACATGTTCTAACTGTTAACTATAGAGGATAAATAAAAGGAAGATGATATATAATAAAACAATATATATGTCAGTAGGTAATATGCTGGGAGATCTATTRTAGCCTCAGATGCTTGTATCTGCACATAAAATCTCTACAAATGTGAATATATATTGACACAAGTATGTTGTAATATCAACTTAAATAGCATAAGCACATTGCCGTGAGTAATATAATTGTCCAGAATGGTGATCTACTCTTGGTCAAGGTCTGAACAAAAGGAAATACAATCTTCCATCATCTACCTAGTAGTTACAAGCCTGGAAAAGCTTATGTATATTAAAACTGTGCAAAAATATTTGGGGTTTATCTAAAAATTGGTTTATATTCCAGGCTCATATGACTAAAAAGGTTTTCTTACATTATGCATGTCTAATAGGACATTTGAAAAGCAGATAGAACATAGAGCAATTTGTTGCACAAGACTATCAATAGATTCTATAACAATAGGCTACTTAGGTCTCCTGGCACTCTTCCACTAAATATCAAAAAATACCCYCAAACTCAGTAACAATAGATAGTGCCTTGTAAGTTTCCAAAAGTATTCCTGAGTGTGGTACCAATTTATTGATAATTCCCAATGTTGATACTTTTTTTTAAAGGTGAACACACAACCCAGAGTCACCTAATTATGCTCCATAAATGAGAAGAACTGCTTAATAGGGAGATTATAGACAAAGAAAAATAGTTTTCAGTTAAATCTAGATAATATAATATTGTGAAGATAGATATATTGTTAAAATAAAATGAAATTATCATATTTAAAGAGACAATATGAGATTGCATTCAAAATACAAGAAGTAGCTGCCATGAATAAAGATATTTTTTGAAGAGGACTTTTTACAAAGTAATTTTAAATTTTCTTTCTATTACATGATGATAATACCTCTAAAAGTGTTGGAAATATTAAATTATATTATATGAAGTACCTACTCCCATCACATTTCATAGTACAAAACATATATGTAAAGTTGAACTTTCCACGTAGCACCAATGTTTTAATTAATTATCCTATTCACCTTTGTTGCATAACAAACCACCTCAAAACTTTATGACTCAAAACAACAATTTAGTTTTGGCTCTCATGGTCCTTCTGGTTAACTGGGCTTTGCTAGGTAGACCCTTCTTGGTTAGAAAATTTTCATGTGGTTAGAGTCAGAAATCTGCTTGGGTTGTAGGCATCTGATTGCTCTGCTGGGTTGGACATCCAAAAGGGAACTCAGTTTCAGTTTAGTGTTAACACATACTTCTATGTGGTCTCTCTGGTATGGTAGCCTCAAAGTAATAAAGCTTCTTACATAGTATCTGAAGTCTTCCACAGATGTTTAAGTGAGCAAGACAGAAGCTGTATTACCTCTTTTATGACCCAGCCTCAGAAGTCACTCAGCCATATTTCCACCATATTCTATTCATCAATGCAGATTCAGAGAAAGGGACTTACACTCCRCCCATGGATGGGGAGGTGGCAAGTCACATTATAGCAGAGCATATAGTCAGAAGTCATTTTTGTTGTCATTTTTGGAAAATGTGGTCATCTTTGGAACTACAATTTGCCATAGTAGCATATGTCAGATGTTATTTAGTTATGATGGTTCAGTATCATCATTGTAAGTATGTACTAATATGTAGCATGTTAGTAGAGAAATATACTGTGTGGATTTTGTTTGTTTGTTTTTGTGTGAGTTGGTTTGTTTSTCTCTTCTCTTAATGTCAATATCCACTGGTTTTCTATCTGCCAGCCTCTAACATTCCACTTTCCCTCTTGTTTGCCACTCTTAATCTTCCGTATGCTAAGGACCAGATGAATGGGTACCTAGGTGGATGGTTGGATAGATGGACAGATAGACAGGTAAGTAGGTTGGTAAATAGATAGGTAGATATAAAATTTTATTAATTAAATATCAAAATAATAAGCTCTGAGCATGTTTTTGATTAGTAAATGGCTTGGCTTACTACAGAATAACATTCTAAGATCCATTGTATAGCTTTGACTTCACAGATATGTTACATGGAATATGATAGTATCTGCTCACTTCATGCAATAATTATGTATTTAATATTTCAAATACCTACTACATTTTTAAAAATCAAGTTCAAGTTACATGCCAAACCCATAAAAATTTATTATAGAAGTTCTGTGATTTGTAGAAGTGAAAAAATAATCTTATTACATTTTATATGTAAGCTCAGAATTTTGTATGTCAAACATTTTTATGTTGTCTTAAAGAGTGGAGAGAAACACCTGTGTAGACATAGCCCAGTGGACATTGCCATCATTAATTTTAATTACCTCGCTAACATTAACCTTTGTATCTGTCAAACATGATTATTCAAAGAAAATATTTGAAATTCAGCAGTATTTCTTTGAAAGAAAGGAGAAAGATTTCATCTACACTTCCTATTCATTGCAAATTTATATATGCTTTGCTGTGTAAAACTAGCAAAGAGTTTCTATGTTGTCATTTTATTTAAAAATATAATTGCTTATGTTGGCATATTTTGCAGCATTTTTATAACTTTTTAGGACCTATTTTTTTTTAACAATTCAGAGAAAGTCAATTCACTTTTCTTACTCTTTAAGCAGTGGGGTTTTTGTTGTTGTTGTTGCTGTTGTTGTAGTTGTTATTGTTTTACATACATAATGGGAAAGAGAAATTAAAATAGTGAGGTAGATAATTTAGCCCCAACCCACACCTCTTTTTCTTTGCCATGAGTATCTGGTGGTTTCAACTTACAACTGGAAATGTTCACTTGGGTAATTGCCTCCATCTTCTTTTGATATAATTGTACTTTAGGATGCTATCCTATGACTTTTCCTCAGAAATATGAAGGATAAGATTTCTTTGGTCTTACCCCTTAAAACCAGGCTCTAAGGAATACCTAGAATGTCTTCATTCTAGGTATTCTGAACCTTTTCTGGATCATGAACGCCACTGAAATCTAATGAAGATCTTCTTCCCAGAAATGTGCAATTATGGGGCTGGGGATGTGGCTCAAGCGGTAKCGCGCTCGCCTGGCATGCATGCGGCCCGGGTTCGATCCTCAGCACCACATACCAACAAAGATGTTGTGTCCGCCGAGAACTAAAAAATAAAAATATTAAAAATTCTCTCTCTCTATCTCTCTCTCCTCTCTCACGCTCTCTTTAAAAAAAAAAAAAAAGAAATGTGCAATTATACACATTGTGTATCCATTTTCAGGGTATTTATGAGCCCCAGCCTAAGAACCCCTCATGTGGAGGCATAGGGAATACAAATGCTACAGCACTGCAAATGTGGCAGTTTCTCCTCTCATTGAAATACTTGTGGGGGAGTAGTCAACCAGCAGTTTGAATCCATATAAACCGTGTTCCATACAACCTTTGATGTTCCCTGGAGTCGCTCTAGAGAACATTGCAATTGCTCATCCAACTTCCCTGGACAAATTACTAACCTCTGGATCATTTCCTCATAGAAGATTTTGTAAAAAAGTGGAGATCATAATAATATCTATATGGCAAGATTAGAGAATTAAATGAAGTTCATGTAAAGTACCAAACAGAGCCATTAGTAGTATAAAATGCCTCATGTTTTGGTGTTGCTGTTGCTGCTGTTAAGGCTACTGCTAGTGCTGTGTGATTGTTATTTAAGCAATTAATTTAAATGTACCTTCTCTCTATGGTAAGTGTTAAATTATTGTCTACAGCTTCTTTCAACTTGGGTATATTTGGAAATATGCTAAATGAGAACTTTTCTAAATACAGAACATTTAATGTTGTTATTGATTTTGAGTCAAAATGTCATCATCACAGGAAACCGCAGCTAAATATCTGAATCAGCAACTTACCTTTCAATAGTTTATTGCTAACTCCGGGAGCTTTGGTCTGTTCTGTTACATTGCTTTCAGTGAAACAGAATGAAGATAGAATAGACAT